CACTGCCTCCCTTGAGGTACTTCTAGACACTGCTCAGGTCCCCTCTCAGCCTTCTCTTCTCCAGGCTGAACTGGCCCAGCTCCCTCAGCCTCTCCTCATAGGGCAGATGTTCCAGGCCCCTCATCATCCTTGTGGCCCTGCGCTGGACTCTCTCCAGCAGCTCCACATCCCTCTTGTCCTGTGGAGCCCAGAACTGGACACAATACTCCACTCCAAATGTGGACACATTAACTCCTATGAAAGCCTTGAACAGGAACTCAGGGATGCGACGCTGGATCTCAGGCAATACTGACACCAGGATTTGACTGTGATTATTTTTTCTGCATTTTTCCAGATCCTCTGCGAGTAGCAGCTCTAAACACTGTTCCCAATGTGCCTTCCAGGTGGGACGAGATACAGCAGAGCACTTCCAGGCTCCAGCAGAACGTGAAGGCTCTGCTGTCTGCTGGAGCATCTCCCCGCTCTCCTCACCGGCTCTGGGGCTTCCAGGAACAACCGCCAACGCGGAGGTGCCAGCCCCACCACACGGCCTTGCACGTCGCATCCTGCTGGCCAGCTTCGACGGCCGCTGACCCGAGCAGAAACTATTCATTTAGCAGGAGAAAGTAGGACAAGCCCACAGGAAATTTAATTAAAAATGCTGAATTGTTAATTGAAAAATATTTCTTTACAACAGAATTTTATCTTGGTTGGTGTCCCATGGTTTGTTCTTTTTTTATTTTTTCCTCATTTTTGCATTTGGCTGGGCATGGTTCGAGGTGGGCTTCCTTCGCTCCTGGTTGTCCTGGTGGTTCTTCCCTCTGCACAAGTTGGGCTGTCAGAGAACAAGGCTCCCTGTGAGCGACCCCACTGAAGGAACAGCAGGTTCCTGGGAGAACAGGGGGGACAGCAGGTTCCTGGGAGAACGGGCCACGCAGCGGGTTTCAGAACCATCTCAACAACCCTGGCCACCTCCACGACCGCTCGGTCTTCGAGGCTTTTGCTCTGGATTCATGGAAGCACCAGGCGGAATGGCCGGGAGCTCCCCGGAGCCTCCTGGTGCGCAGGGAAGTCCTGCACGATGGTCTGTACCGGCACTGACGCCCTCACCCGTGTTTCCGAAGAAGAAATGGTCTGCAGTTGAACTGGCAAGGGCTCTCTAGCACACGCTGACCAGACCATAAGAACACGCCGTGTTTTCCCAACGTGCAGAAGAGGGGAGAGCAGCCCAGCGGCATTAACGACACCGCAGCAGATGGTGGTGGATGTTATTGATGAGAGTCATCAAGTTACAGGGCTAATTCTGCTAATTGCTTGTTTCCTAATGAAGAGGGGACGGGATCAGGACGATCATCGGCCACATGCAGGTCCTTTCCCATCGCCGGGGCCTCCTGCGCCAGCGTTTGCAGGAGTGCTGGGGTTCCTCCAGGCAGCACATTCCAGGATATTCCGCATGGAATAGCGGGAGGGCAGGAACAGCAGGAGAGACAGTATGCACTGATTCCAGGAAACAGGCGAGCAAGCTGCAAACAAACCAACCCCAACGAAACGCACCCTGAGCCGCGGCTGTTGCCGCTACAACTCGCGGCAGACCGTGTGATTCCAGGGAATGCCTAGCTATCGTCCTGAGAAGAAACGCGCTGGAACTTGGCTAAAGCAGGTCCTGATTTGGTGCCCAATGGGAAAACACCTCTACCACTCACTGAAACCTTCCCGCAGTTCTTTGTAGGTTCTCACTTAGAAACTTAGAAAGAAAAAGGTTTAGGGAATTGTTTCAAACCTGTTGCCAATACACGGTTTCCAAAGTAACGAAAGAATCAGGTCGCCTTGCAAATTTAAATTACGAGTGCAAACACAACCCACTGATTTCGAGTGCAGGCAACGGAGGGAGCAGCCTCATTCCCTCCCTGGGGCTGGTGCCGGCTCCTCCCGCAGGATCCGAGAGCGGGAACGGCGGCTCTGCAGAGGGAGCACGTCAGGATGTAAGCGATGCCTGGGGTGCCTTGCACTTTATAATGCAGCCATGGACGCTTAGGGAAAAAATAAAATGAACCCAGAGATTTACAAATGCTTCCTGTTTGGTCAAACCCAGCTCCAGACTTTCTGCCTTTAAAATGCGTAATGGGTAGAAAACATAAACAAAACAATATATTTAACTGTGTAAAATACCAGGAGATACAGAATTTATGAGAAATGCTACCTGCTACTCTGCTCTATTTTATCACAGGATATATACGCTTTATGAATGATTTCCAGAGACAGAAAGCACTTCCTATTCCCTGTTTGCTCACGTGAAGGGAAGCATGGGTCTTTCCTCTCCCTCCTGGTCCTCCCACCACCCCAACCCAATCCTGCCCCAACCACCCACCTGAATGTCCCGTCGGCCGCCGGGGGCTCATGGAAACACCAGCTCAGGGCTGGGTAAAGCAAGCGGGGCGCGCGGGCACCTCCAGAACCCGCCGTTCCACCGCGGAGCTCCGCGCGGTCTGGAGCGTAGCCGAGCAGGGGGCCCGTTCGTAGCATTTCGGGGGTACCAGGATTCCATTTCAGCATCCAGAAAAGCCTAAGACTGTTTTTTTTTTTGGCCCAAACTGCTTTTAGAAGTGAGCACATTTTCTTATTGCCTTGATCCCATTGAAAACTCCTCCTATTCAAGGAGCAGACCCAGACTTCCATGCCTGTTCTCCTTGACTTTCATAAGAGCTTTAATGAAATAAGCTTCCTCTCTTCCTCTTGAGAGCTTGGTCTGCTTCTCACACCAACTCTCTCCTGGCTCTCCGAGGGTCCTTTGCTCTTTGATACAACTTAGAGGCTCCAAGAGGCCCCTCTGACGTTCCCTTCTACCACTCCGCATTTCACATGCTGCCCGCTTCATATCAAGACCTCACAGAAGTCTCTTTCTTCACACGGGTTACCTCTAACCGAAATAAAAGCTTGGCTTATTTCTTTGGTATCCCCCTCTGGCTATGCAGCCAGCAATTCCCTCTTTCCCAGCTTATGAACATCAGCTTATGGCATCCTTGTGCCACTTAGACTGGGTTATAGTTTCCTTTAGGAACTTTCTGTTGAGCCTTAAACGTCTCAAGCTGTGCAACTCCCTGGTGCGTGCAGGCTGCACGGGGCTTTCCAGACCCTGCCTGGCC